TCTGTCCTGGATTTAAAAGATGCCTTCTTTTGCATTCCCTTACACACTAAAAGTCAACCTATCTTTGCCTTTGAGGACCCCACAAGAAAGTCTGGACAGGTCACTTGGACTGTCCTCCCCCAGGGATTCAGAGACAGCCCCCACCTCTTTGGGTTAGCTCTAACCCAAGACTTGGCAGAATGGCAATATCCACAAGCTACTCTGCTACAATATGTAGATGACCTCCTGCTCTGTGGACCAAATGAGCCTGTCATTTCATGAGCCACTGAGTCCTTACTAAACTTCTTAGCAGATAGAGGTTATAAGATCTCTAAAGAAAAAGCCCAATTGTGTCAGTCTAGGGTTACATATTTAGGTCTTGTCCTGGAGAAAGAAATGAGGTCTCTAGGAGAAGATAGAATCCGTCCAATCCTGACATTTTCTCTACCTAAAACTCTAAAACAATTGAGGGCCTTTTTGGGTGTCACTGGATACTGTAGAATTTGGATCCTGGGATATGCAGATCTAGCCAGGCCTTTATATCAAATCCTTAAGGAAGCACAGAAGGATACCCAGCCCTTTATTGAATGGGATGACAAGTCAGAAAATGCATTCCACAAGTTAAAGAAGGCTCTTATGACAGCTCCTGCCCTGGGTCTCCCAATACAAGACAAGTTTCAATTATATGTCTATGAAAAGGGAGGACTGGCCTTAGGCGTGGTGACTCAGCTCCAGGGCATCAATCCCCAGCCAGTAGGTTACTTAAGCAAAGAGTTAGATCAGGTAGCCAAGGGATGGCCAGGATGCCTCAGAGGAATGGCTGCAGTAAGTCTTCTAGTGCCTGAAGCTCAGAAACTTATCCTAAACCACCCCATAATGGTTTATACCCCACACGACCTAGGAGGAATTTTAAACTGAAAAGGAGAACTTTGGCTATCTGACAGCCATCTACTTAAATATCAGGCCCAGCTTCTGGGAGGGACAGAAATAACTTTAAGGACCTGTCAGAGCCTAAATCCTGCATCCCTTCTACCAGAGGCAGAGGGAAATCCTGAGCACTTGTGTGAGGAGGTACTTACAGAAAATTATGCTGCCTGACCTGACTTAACTGATCAACCCTTAAAAAACCCAGATATAGAATTATACACTGATGGCAGTTCCTTTGTCAAGAATGGTGTCAGACATACAGAGTTTACAGTTGTAACAGAATTTGGTATCCTCAAATCAGGTCCTCTTCCTCCTAATACCAGTACTCAATTGGCAGAATTAGTGGCCTTAACAGAAGCCCTAAGACTGTCAAAAGAACAGAGAGTCAACATCTATACAGATTCTAAGTATGCCTTCCTGATCCTGCATGCTCATGCAGCCATTTGGAAGAAAAGAGAAATGCTAACTACAATAGGAACAGCTTCCCATAGAAATAAGAGAGGTTCCTCTAATAGTTTTAGGGATAACAGCGTTAGTTACAGCCCTTGCTGAAATCAGCTATGGGGTAATTGCCAATCATGTAACTGCAAAAAACCTAACCAAAGTGGTAGAGGACACCTCAGACCAGGTAGGCCTTGCCATTAAGGACATGCAAAGGTCTTTGTTGTCTCTTGCCTGTATGGTCATAGACCACCACCTGGCCCTAGATTTTCTTTTGGCCAAGCAAGGGGGGGGGTATGTGCCATTGCCAATACCTCTTGTTGCACATATATAAACACTTCGGGCATTGTAGAGGAAATGCAGATTATATTCTCCAACAATCTAAATGGCTCCGGGAGCAATCTCTTGAAACTCAGGTTTCTACTCAGGTATGGGAACAAATAAAATCCTGGCTCCCCTCCAGGACTTGGTTCCTACCCTTTCTGGGGCCTATAGTTGCCCTTATCCTCTTGCTTGTGTTTGGGCCTTGCATTTTAAACTTACTTGTCAAGTTTGTTTCTTCTCGCCTAGAATCCATCAAACTACAAATGCCTCTGGTGGAGATGAAAACGACCTACTACCGAGGTCCCCTTGACAACCCCTCTCGTGGTCAGCCCTGATGCTGTGGGCTCCTTCATCGCCCCCTGTCAGCAGGAAGCAGTTACTGAACAGACTTCATCATCCCTATCCCTAACAGCAGTTAAGGCAACCATTGAGAGGGGGGAATGAAGGACTGAAGGACGGACTGCGGGAGGTCCCAAAAGGCGATAAGTGGTCAAGGAGACACTTCTCCTCCCTAGGAAATGCCTGTTTGCATCTGAAAGGCATCTCCGCCATCAGGCAATGCAAATAGGCTATAAACCCCACTCCCCACCCTGACTCACAGGATCACTGGTTTCCAGGTCCCCCTGCATTCTCCAATATGCAACCTTTCTCTTCTCTTTTCTCCAACTAAATTCTCTGCAATAAAATCTTTCCGACCTCTGCTGTTAGAGTCTGTCTGTGCTTTCATTCTCAGAGCAGGCTCAAGAACCCTGAGCACCTGAAATTCCTGCGCGTGTCATCCGTGCATCAAAGTGATCTCTCAGATTGCCTTCTTTCACTTGTAATTGCATTAAGGGTCAATCTGTCGTCTCTTGGCTTGATGACTTTCTATTGTCTGGCTGAGCCAGGATTGAGTTATTAATTTTGCTGCAAAAGGAAATCTTGGTGCATGCCAAATGCTGGCAATGAGGGAAGTAGCTATAACCATGCAGGTTTGGGTAAACACCCAGGAGCTCCAGTGCTGCACTGGACAGCAAGGCTGTGGCTTGCATCATCCAAACCACTTTAATTTCTGCTTCACTTCATGGCATTTAATTTTTTTATCTGCTGGAGACAGACACTGTAGCCTTGTGCATTCTAGGCAAGTGTTCTACCATGGACCTGAATTCCCAGTCCCCCACCATTTCTTGTTTTCTTTTTTCCTTTTCTTCAGTGCCGAGGACAGAATTCCTGGCCTTATGCTTGCCAGGCACTCGATTTACCACTGAGCTGAATTCCTAATCCCCTTACAAATTCTTAATCAAACACTTAGAAATGGAACATCTGACTGGAAATATATCTATTCATAACTTAGTTTGTTGGGTAACCCTAAAATGATAAAATGTAGACTTTGTGGATTTATAATTTTATAAGTTTAATGCTTCTTTTAACTAAAAGCCTAATCACATTCTATAAAACAATTTTCAAAGCAGAATTTTGTACTGATTTATTTGAGGTTCCCTTTGTGAACAGGTGCACGTGGGGACCTACATCTCAGCGTGTTTTCTTTTCTGACATCCAAATGCTCTATATTACTGTCACATGACTTTCACGGTAGCTTTTGAAGTTTTTATTCAGGGATTGTGGCTGAAAATAGTAACCAGGGAGGCAGGGGTTGAAGGGAGAACAGGAATTCCTCTCTTATAGTGTTTGAAATCTGCAATGAATCCTTCATCACCTACAATTTGTATAACTGAATTTCCATTCAAAATGACACTGAGGTGGACAAAGACGTGTTGCTGAATACAAAGATGTTGTTAGATTTGGGGCCCTGCCAGGCACATAACAAGCACCCAGCACAAGATGGCAGGGACTTTAGCTGGCAGTGCCAGCAGGAGATGAGAAGAGAGGACAGGGACGGCTGATTGTCCTGTGTCTCTCTTCCCTTCTCCCCAGGGTTTTCAAGCCCTCTCTGGTCCATCTTGCTCCTGGCTGCTCATGGTCAACTATCCACCTGCAAAACTAAAGCCAAAGTGGTGAGGACAGCAAGCACCCTGGTGGTCGCTGTGTGCAGAGGAGGAGCCTGAGGGGCAGAGGGCACAGCCCCTGGGGGAGGAGGAAGGGCCTCGTCCCACCAGGACACTGAAAAGTGGGCTCTCTCCTTCATTTCTCCTCAAGTACAGAGAGACTGATTCTGGTAGGTTGGCTGTGATGGGGCTATGGAGGTGAGGTTTCCAGTGGTGCAAAAATAATCCCATAGAGCAGTGAGAGAGATGGAGGGAGAGAGGGGCAGGTGTGGAGGAACAACCCAGAACAATGGATGGGAGCCTTGTGACCTTGGGCAGACAACTCAAGGACCTTCAGTCCACATTCCTCACTCCCAGAGTTACGAATAGCTGGGAAAGGGTACAGTGTGACTCCATTACAGAAGAAGAAAACAGAGAGACATTGAAAGATTTGACCCCACCTGCCATCCCAATACTGGAAGCTTTCGATAGGAAGGTCAAAGTTGAAGTCCAACCATGAAAACAAAGCAAGACCCTACCCAAAAAGTAACTAACCCATAAGGGCTACAGACAGTGGTAGAGCCCCTTGTAACAAGTTCAAGACCCTGCGTTCAAATCCTAACAACACCCCCTCCCCAGACCCCAAAAAAGTAAAGAAGAACATTTTACGAAAAATCACACAAAAGGCAGTGGCAGAGTTAGTATGGCAAAATGTGAAATTCAGAAAACTTTCTTTCCCCAAATTTTGCAAAACCAAGGTTCCACTCTCCTCCACCCAATCCCCCCGAACATGCCCTGTCACTTTTGAAAGCAAAACCGTTAAGCTTACTACCCTGCTAACAAAAAGCCTCCACATTCCTCAGGGAACACAGCCTCCGAATTCCTCTCCAAAACACTGCCCCTTGGAGTAGCAGAGTGGCTCAAATGCTGGATTTATGTCAAGTGCATCAGAAGTTCTGGAAGATAGGGTCTGGAAATATGGCTGATGCCTGCTCACCAGAGGCCAAGAGGTAGAGGCAATGGAGGCCAACACAGCAGAATGGTCCCAGGAGCAGAGCAAGGCAGCCTTTGCAGGTGTTAGTAGAAGCAAAGAATCCCGGATGCCTTTCTCTCCTACCTCCTTCTGTAGGTCCAGGAAAGAAATGGTTTACAACAGCTGGGCTGTAAGAAGGTGAAGAGTTCAACAATTCACACCCAATGCATCAGGAGGGTTCAGGGAGAGTTGCAGCTGGATTACACGCAAGAAGAGCAAGTGCACTGCCCCTGGCAGCTGTCCATGGCTGCCTTTGCTCCTTGCTTGGGCCAGATGAGAAATCTCCTCACACTACTCTCTCCACATCCATGTGCCTGCCTCCATCTCCCCAGATGAACAGGAGCAGCTGGTCGTCCAACTCACCTCTCAGTGTCTCAACCTGGCCCGCCTGCAGGTGCTTTCCCTGGACTCTGTCTCCTTCCTGGAAAGCCACCTGGACCAGGTGCTCAGGTGAGAAGGATGGAGAGCTTGACCTGCAGACCCAAGGAGGTCTTGTATTATCACAGTAAATTTCGTGGCCACTTGCTGTGTCCCAGCACTGAGGTTGTCACAGAGACGGAGGCACCAGAACATCAGTGTCTTGTTCACAACTCAGCGTTGAAGCCAGGTCTCACAAATGTAATCACCATGTGAAGGCAGAGGCTAAGTGGGGCTGAATGGCCTAGGAAGGACCCATGTCCTGTGCCAGCTGTGGGGATCAGATCTAAGGTGGGTGGGCTGTGAATTCCTCTCCACCTTGATGTCATTCCCCACCCCATTCACCAAGTTCAACAACTACTTGTTCTCTCTTTAGGTGCCTGAGGTCCCCCTTGGGAACCCTGTCAGTGACTAACTGCCAGCTTGCAGAATCAGACTCAAAGCATCTGTCCCAATGTCTGAGCATCCACACTAAAACACCTGAATCTGAGTAGTGTCACCCTGACCACCTCAGCTCTGAGCCCCTCCTAGTTCTCCTAGAGAGAGTTGCATTTACACTGAAGACCTTGTGTTTGGGGAGCTCTGGGATCGAGGACCTCCAGCTCACTGCCCTTCTGCCCGCCCTGACCAACTGCTACAGCTCAGCACATTCAAGTACATAAGGAGTCCCATGTCTGTGGCTGTCCTGGAGAACCTGCTGTGCTACATGGTCCAGCTGGGCCACTGAAGCCTAGAGATGTGCATTCCACCACTCTGGAGGTCCATGGTGCTCAGGGTCTCCACAAGAGGACCCTGGGCCAACTGTGAGATGAGTTGGCAATGACTGTGAAGCATCCCGGGATAGTCTGCCTCAGTACAATTCCCTGTCCCTCTGTGGCAGCCAGGTTCTTCACTGCCCTAAAAAACCTCTATGCCCTGGCTACTCATTCCTGCCCCTATTCCTGGCAACCAATGGCCTTTTACTGTCTTCATACTTTTGCTGTTTGTAGAATGTCCCACTTTAAGCAGCATTTTCAAATTGTCTTTTTCTCTTAGTCACATGCACTTAAGGATTCCCATGTCTTTTCCAGGCCTGGTAATATTCCATTGTCTGGATGGATTGCAGTTTATTTATGCATTCACCCACTTAAGGGAAGGAAGCTTGGTCCTTTTCGAGTTTTGCAATTACACATAGGGTCGCAGGCTTATCTATCTGATGAACACCTAGGAAGATGGTTTCTAGAGGATGTGGTTTACTTCCTTTGCCAACTCTCTTGTTAGAAACAGATTCTACCTTAAAGAACAGGGATTGTGTGTCTGTCACCCTGTAGCCCACATCTGAGCATGGAGCCTGGTATATGACAGACACTGCTTGTTTACTGCATGGCAAACATGTGTAATCAGTTCAGAGCTACAAAAATGCAAATTTGCAGATGGTTTGTATTATCTGGCACCCAATACTGTGCTGGATTCATGGTTCTAAAGCAGAAAATACTGTTTGGAACTCCCATCTGGTTTGTCAGACTCAGGATCCCAGAGAGACTCTTTCAAGCTGTGCGTTTCTGCCCCCTGCTGGACGATTTGACCATATACAATTGATTTCAGTCATTTTATTCCCAGAAGGGACTTACTTCATCCACTCTTGGGGTGATTTGTCTCTTCCAGGATGGAGAAGGCTTTCCTCTGTGGAAATTCTTGCCCATCAGTAATAAGATGACTGAGACATGCGTTTCTCTAGCACTTGCCACACCCTTCTGTAAGCAGCACGAGACTCACTGGGCAAATTATTATCAAAGATAAAGATTTTAATGAATCAAATGGCAGTAACCTTACCACATTCAATCTTTTGAAATGTCTACTGGGCAAAATTATATTGACAAAAAAATTATCTAAAAGATGAATGGACAGGTGGCTTTGGCCAAAAGTTTTAGCCCTAGCCTTAATGGTGGTTAGATTGTCTCTTGTTAGAAAACACAAACTGACCCATTGTGAAACGATTGCCAAAGCCCTATGCCTGTGACCATAGATAGCCTTAGCTGAAATGCAAACATTTTGGGAAGTAACCCCAAATACATTTAACAATAAATAAATGCATAAATAAGGGGGTATGGACAGGGTGACCCTAGTGAGCAGTTGCCTGTGCATTGGCCCAGGCCTGCGCCAAATGGATGGATACTTATGGGGTCTGGGGTCTTTGCTCACAGTGGGATTGGCCAGGGCAGCTGCAGGAGACCACACAGTTTAGATAGGAGGAGTTCTCAAGGATGGAGGAATAGATGGGTCTGACTGTGGTATACAGAGGCACAGACAAAAAGCTTCCCTCAGACAGCCCTGCTCCCCCGATCTTGCAGGTTGCCCACCAGTGGAGGGTCACCTTCCCAGGCAGCAAGGACCACAACACTGCTGTCCACTGTGGCGTGGCCTATGGCTGTGGAATGCAGATGCTTCCTGATTTCACAAGTGAAGAACCTGATGGCCTAGATCTGCATGAAGGATCTCTGCATGTCCTCAAGCATGGCCATGACTCAGTCACTGCCACCCTACCTGCTGTAGGTCACCTACATGAACCTGTGGGATACTGATGGGTTCAGTCTGGGAGTGTTCCTGCTTCAGAGCAGTGTATGCATCCTGCTGAATGACTACCTGGGCATGCACGTGGTGCTCAAGGTGCTCCTTGGCACTGTGCACATCAGCTGCATGGACCAGCTGGAGACAGGTGGTGGGCAGAGGACAGGGGCCCTCTGCAAAATCAGCACTTCCAGACTCTGCTGCAGAACCAGGAGCAGGAGGCCCTGTGTCTAGATACAAGGGTCCTTGTATCTTCTAGCCACACCTGGACAAGGGCCAATAGTTGGAGTTGGTAAACAGTTTGCTGTCTTCCTGGACATCCTGGCCATGCCCCATGACCCTGGCCACCTCTGGGAATGCCATTATTACAGAGTGCTGGATGCATTCAGTCCCATGGAGGCCTCTGGCTCGGCTGGTAACCTGCCTAGAGAAGTGTACTAACAGGAGAACCCCAAGGCTGATGACTTCTGGGGCAAGGAAGAACCCTATCCAGGTCCCAATGTCCTTTTTGAAGCCAACGGCTCCTGGGAGCAGTGGACCTTGATCAGGAGCTGGCTGCCCTTGACCTACCACAGGGCTCTACCTGACACCAGCCTTTCCTTGGATCAGCAGCTGCTTCCATTGAAGCTTTTGGGAGCTTGGGCTTCATGATAGCACACAATAGACAGGGGAAGTGTGAATGTAGGTAGGAGGCTAAATTAGTTGCTGGTGCTGTTGCTGTCACCACAGCTTTAATGTGAAGCAGTGTGGACCTTCTGAAGTGCTCTCATTCTAAAGCCATAATGACAATGTTTTCCTCCTTCCCCATTCTACACAAAATATACTCAGTGGCTTTCCCCTCCTGTCCTTGATTTCTGCCCTTATAGTTTTATTTTTGACTGTTAATGAGCTGGTGGTTTGAGTTGTTATTTAGTTCAAATCATTGGCAAAAAAGATATGTTTCAAAAGATGAGCTACTTTTAGTACAAGCTGTCTGTCCTGCATGGTTACTTCCCTGTGAAAACCAAGTCCCCTTTTCAGAGTTCTAGTTTACCCTCAATACAGAACTGTGACCGTGGATGACAAGACTTCTTTTCTTCCTCCCTTGTCTGGTGGTCACAGTGGATTGACTCAGGCAAAGGCTGAGCAATTAAGCACTTGCCTGTCTCAGTGAGCACTAGTCCCTCATATCTGAAGCTTTTCTTAAGACCTCAGATCCACCTCCTGAGCAGGTTTTGATGCACACTCACCTTTAATGAGAAGACTGTATTACCCTCAGGTGACTGTTTTATTGTCTAATACACCTTAAGAGGTGGCAGGGCTTTGTAACTTCAGAAGATTCAGAAGTGCCAAACTGCTCATGATTACAGATGACAGAATGCTTGCCAAGCAAGCTGCTGCATCCTTCCAATCTCTTCATTTAAAATAAAGAAAATGACAGTCCATGATCTGTTCATCCTCCTAGGAACCCCATGTGATGTTGAGAACAATGTGTATTCTGCAGCTGTAGGGGAAATGTTCTATGAATGTCCATTAGCTCTAGAGTGTAGTTTCAGTGTGATGATTGTTGATTTTCCTCTAAGGGTGATCTGTCCACTAGTAGAGTGGGATATTGAAGCCCACTACTATTATTGTGCTGTAGTCCATCTCTGTTTTTAGATTTAGTGAGATCTGCTTTCTATATTGTGTGCTCCTGTATCAGGTGCACAGATATTTCCAAATATTACATCTTCATTCTTGTGTAACCCCTTTATCATTATATCTGACCTTCTTAACCTTTATCTTTAGTTTTAAATTTAAAGTCTACTTCATCTGATGTGAGGTTAGTCATCCTGTTTTCAATAGATTTCCATTGCATGGAAGATTTATTTCCATCCCTTCCCTTTGTATAAGCATGTCCTTACAGGCAAAATGAGTTCTTTCTAAACAGCAAGTGATCCAGACCATTTTTAAAAAATACAAATCCATTCACTTTAAACTTTTAGCTGGGGCATTCAATCCATTTCCATTCAAGGTTATTATTGAGAAGTAGAGATTTTTCTTCTTCATTTTAGCCCTTGTTTTTTTGAAATCTTTTGTTCCCTTCTTCCTCTCTTGTTTTTATTGTTTGTTTGTTTTCTCTAGAGATAGGACTTGTTTTTTCAGTATTTTTTTCCTTTTAGTGGGACTGGGGTTTGAACTCAGGAGTCCATGTTTGCTAGACAAGTGCTCTGTGTATAAGGTCTTACCCCCAGCACTTGAATGAATATGGAATCTTTTTTATTTGTTGTTTTAGTTTTGATGGTAATTAAACTCAGTGTCTTTAGCATGTAAGGCAAGCATTTTATCACCCTTGTTTTGTTCCTTTTTTTCTCTCTCTCTTTTTGCTGTGTTTTTTTTTCTTTTTTCTTTTTTCTTTTGTTTGGTGTTCCTTTTTTTGAGACAGGGTTTTGCTATGTAGCCCAGGCTGATGCTGAATTTGCATTCTTCCAGCCTCTGCCTCTGGAGTGCTGGGATTATAGAATAGAACACCATGCCCATCTTTTTAGTATCTTTTAATTTAATTTATAATTTGTGAACATGCTGAATTTACTTCTTGTGGCTCCTCCAGTACGTAAATAAAAATTTATCATTATCAAAGACTGTTCTGAATAGAAAATTAAACTTTGATCCCATAAGTATTCTGGGTCTCATCTTTCTCTTGTAATTTCAGTCTAATTGGGATTCTTTGAGTTTTGTAGATATGTTACCCTGAGTCCTGCCTAGGTGACCTAGGTGAATTTCTACCCAACCCAATCTAGTTTATCTTGAGGACAAGATGCCTGAAGCCAGAAGTTCCTGTTCAAATGGGGTAGACAAAACTTCTTGATACTCTTAGGACTCCTTAAGTCAGTCAGAGTGACTTGCAGAAACCTAAATGTTCTTTATTAAAAATCTGTATACCAAATCTACGGTTCCATGACAGTTGACAATTGCATGGTGACAAGTAGAAAGAACCATAAAAGGAGATAAAATAGGTGGAACAGAATTCTTGGAATATCCAACCACTGTGGATATCTCTTCCTCCCTCCCTTTTTCTCTCCCTCTCTCCACCCCACACTCTCATTCTTTTTTGAGGCAGGATCTCCTATGAACCACAAGGTGAACTTCATTTTTTTTTCCAGTACTGGGATATGAACCCAGGGCCTTACACTTGCCAGACAAGCACACTTCTGCTTGAGC